TCCATCCAAGTCTCGTACCAAGTGGCTGCTCAGCTGGAATGAACACAGGAGTTCGCTGACTTGGCATGGGCGCCATTCAGAGATCACTTTGCATTGTTTCCAATGAATATGAAGCAATCTTTGATTGGACAAGGAGGAGAAGCTAGGCTGTTATATCACAGTCTCCAACTCATCCAATCAAAGAGTGCTTTTATTGACGATATGGAATGTGTTCTCTGACTGGTTTTGATTGAAAAGATACTTTTATTACAGAAGTATAAAAAACAACATGATACTTGTAATCGGGGTACATCTCACCATATACTGCGACGCAGCGCACCACATTGCAATACAGTTCCAAGCATACGATAAATACATTCAGAAATAAATACATTCGCTCAGCGGTATGATGCCTGACGTGATGTGCGTAGAGGATGAATCCCCCAGACCAACACGTCATGCATAACGCCGCTTACCCCGAAACCATAGCATCCTAATACACAGTACATTTCCTAATATCACTAAGTCATGCAAAAACGAAAACCGAATGTTACAATCTACAATAGGCATTTCGGCATCGGGTGTGGGGGGGGGGGGAAGGGGAAAAAAAAAAAAGGGGGAAAACACAGGCCCGAAGCTTTATTGAAGGGACAGAGACACGCAAGGGGGAGTAGGGGGAAGGGGAGATCTTCAGACGTCCTCTTCCTCCTTAAAGTCCATCAAGGTATAGTCTCTGAGCAGACTGAGAATCAGTCTGCGGCAGTCCTCAATGGACCTCCTCTCCCGCTGGTGGATGAGGCACTTCCTGGCGCACCATAAAGCGTCCTTAAAACAACACAGCACCCGCCAGGCGCCGTCAATGTCCTCCAGAGAAAAAGTTCCACAGAATAGTCCATTCAACACCCCAAAGTGAGTGATGGCTGTCTGTGGTACAAAGTCCTTGAGTTCAGGTTCCAGGGCCCCCAACAGGGCCTGAGCAAAAGAGCACTCCCAGAAAACGTGGTGAGACGTTTCCTCATGGATGATGCAGAAGGGGCAGTGTCTGTATCTGCTCAGGTTCCTGGCATGCATAAATGTCCTGAGAGGCAACCCCCCTTGGATTGCCATCCATGCCAGGTCTTTGTGCCTGTTGGTGAGAATGTTGGAAGAAACATTCCTCCAGACCACCTTGCAGGTGTCTGAAGGCAGGCCTGGAACCGACTCCAAAATGTCGCTTGCTCTGATGAGCTTGTAAATGGTCTTTGGTTTCCACAAGTCAGGCTTGACTCCCTGCAGCCCCTGCTCCCTGATGAACTTGAAGGTATCCAAGTAGTACCAAGGAGTGTCCCAGTTGTAGGGGATGGAACTGTCCCAAGTGTCCCACCCGAGGGACCTCCAGAGAGGCAACAGGAAGAAGCGTGACATTGCGTTCCCGCCAGAGTCCATAATCCTTTTGGGCAAAGTTCTGCGGATGCAGTTGCAAGCAAAGAACACCCTCAGTTGGGTGGCGATGTCGGGCACGCCCTTACCGCCCTTGAGGGGTTCCTTGAACATGACTGCCCGCTTCACTCTGTCCATCTTGGAGCCCCAGATGAAGTGAAACACCGCCCTGGTGATGGCCTTACAGGTGTTGACCCGTGGGGGCCAGGCCTGGGCAAGGTACTGCAACACAGGAGAATCTCGCTGCGGAGTACCAGTGTCTTCCCTTCGATGGTGAGGTCTCTGAGGCTCCAAAGTCCAAATTTCTGTCTCATCTTGGCTAGTCTCTCCTCCTAAGACTTCAGGGTTGCGCCCTCGACACCAAAACCAAACTCCCAGAATTTTCATGAAGTCTGTCTTGATGTCAAAGGGCATGGATGCAGAAGAAAGCAGGAACCACTTTCCGAAGAGCATGACTTCCGACTTCCCGCAGTTGACTTTTGCCCCCGAAGCTTGGCCGAAGTCCTCGCAGGTCTGGACGAGCAGGTCTATGGAGCGCTGGTTGGCACAGAACACCGTCGTCGTCCATGTAGAGCGAGCACTTCACTTCCCGTCTGTCTGGTCCCGGTGCGGTGATTCCCCCGATCTCTGGATTTCGTCTGATGCATTCGGCGAAGAGCTCTATACAGCAAACAAAAAGCAGAGGTGAAAGAGGGCAGCCTTGTCTGACCCCGGAGAGGACCGGGAAGGGGTCAGTTTTCCAGCCGTTCACCTGCACGGAACTGCAAATATCGTTATACATAATGTGAACGTACGAACAAAACATTTCCCCAAGACCAAACCTGCGCAGGGCTCTCCACATAAACCCATGGGAGACACGGTCAAAGGCCTTTTCCTGATCAAGACTGACCAGGGCCGCATGCACACGGCGGTCCTTGATGTATTGGACCGTGTCCCGGACAAGCGCTAGGCTGTCCGCAATCCTGCGGCCAGGAATGCCGCAAGTCTGATCCGGGTGGATGATCTGTCCGATGACAGCCTTCAGCCTGTTCGCCATGACTTTGGCGAGGATCTTGTAGTCCACGTTCAGGAGAGAGATGGGACGCCAATTTTTCAAGTCACATCTCTCCCCCTTACCCTTGTACAGGATCGTGATCATCCCCTCCCTCAACGAAGGAGGCATCCTGCCCTCCACCACCATCTCCTCGTACAGCTCGAGCAGGTCCGGGCCCACGAGGTCCCACAGCGCTATATAGAGCTCTGCTGGGAGACCGTCGCAGCCCGGGGTCCTGCCCCGCCTAAAGGATTTAGCGGCAGAGTGCAGCTCCTCCAACGTCAAGGGGGCGTTGGTGGCCGACAAACCTGCAGGATCAATAGCATTAGAGATACCTGACAAGAATCTGTCGGCTGCTGACGTGTTTGTTTCTTTGGGGGAGTAGAGGTCGGTGTAGTAGTCGCTGACCACTTTCATCACGGCCTCCTTCCCCTTCTGGAGTGTTCCAGTCTTGTCGTGCAGCTCCGACAGGGGGTGTGAGTCCTGAGTGGAGTTTCCTGAAAAAGAAAGTTACACTTCTCACCTTTCTCTAGATGCTCCACCTTGGCACGGAAGACAATGTGCCTGGATTCCTCAAAGTGCTTTTTCAAGCTCTTCTTGGTGTCCTCCAGGTCTTGCCTCATGTCCCAGCCACAGAGATGAAGGTCCTGCAGGGACTGCAGCTGACGCTGCAGTCTCCTGAGTTCCCTCCTCCTGGCACACACTTGCTGGCGTCCCCTGGCCTGAAAGAAGCTGCGCAGCTTGACTTTCACAAACTCCCACCAGTCGCTTACCTTGGGAAAGAAAGACTTCTCCTCCTGCCAGGCACCGTAGGTTTCCCTGAGCTCCACTAGCAGTTCCTCATTGTCCAGCAGGGTGCAAATCAGCTTATCAGCTTCCAGGAGCCCGGGCCCGGGGCAAAGCCCTCTCCCAGGTCACCCCGAAACTGAATGGCCCTGTGGTCAGAGAAAAAGCAGGGAACCATGGAGAACCCGCGGTGCCTGATTGCCCTGGAGGTGAGCACAAAGTCAATCCTGGAACGCACAGATCCGTCGGGACGGCTCCATGAGTAGTTCACGGAGCCGCGCCCCACGGATCCCACGGCGTCCTGCAGGGAAGCCTCCGCAATCACCTCCCAGAGCAGCTTCGAGGTGGCATCGAGTTTTACGTACATGCTGGAGCTGCGCCCCATCCTCCTCTATCGGACAGTTAAAATCACCGCCGATCACTACTGTTCTCGTTGTGACGAGTTGCGTCCGCAGGGTTTGGAAAAGCTCCAGCCGCGCGTTCTTCTCCGGGGAGGCGTACACGTTGATGAGCCTAATGGGCTCCCCCGCCCACGAGCCGTCTATGACCAAAAGGCGGCCACAGACGAGCTCATGGACGGAGTCAACAGTGAAACGTCCTCCTCTGATAAGAACCGCTACCCCTGCAGACTTGCAATCGCCACCCCCAGACCAGTAGGAGGGACCGTGGGTCCACTGGGAGGACAAATGAGTGTACCTCCTCAGAGGGGGAAGGGCGCACTCCTGAAGCATGTAGACATCACTCTGCTGTGTGGAGAGAAAGGTCAGCACAGTCTGCCTCCTAGACGCATCCTTGATGCTCCTCACATTAATGGAAAAGATAGAGATCTCAGCCATCATGGGAAAGAGATGAAGGGGTTAGTCGGCAGGGGCTGTGCTTACCTCCCCTGGAGAGGGGGGGTGACCTCTGCAGCCTGACCAGAGTCCTGGCTCAGTCCGATCTGGTTGAGGACCTCGTTGAGGACCTCATCGAAGTCGGTGGAGAGATCTGGCTCCGACCGGGTCAGAGCCATCTCTTCTTCCACCTCTTCCTCCTCCAGCGTGTCGAGGTCCTCCCCCATGGGGTCGGGACCTGCGGCATTCTGGAGGGACAGCAGGCCGTTTGGTGGTGGAGGAGGGGTCCTCCGCCGCCGGGCTGGCCTGCTCCTTCTTCCGCTTCCTGTTCCCCGCCGCAGAGCTGCTGACGGGGGTGGCAGGGGGAAGGGGCGGGAAATCCTCCTGTGAGAACAGGTCAGGGGGGGGTGGAACCGGGCCCGGGCGGGGTAAGGCAGGAGGGCAAGGGGCAGGGGGAGCAGGAGGGCAAGGGGCGGGGGGGGGCAGGGGGGGCAGGAGGGCAAGGGGCAGGGGGGACCAGGGTCCGGGGGGGGGCAGCCTCCGACACCGGAGGGGTAGGGGGGGCTGGGGTGGGGGGGGGAGGAGGTGGGGGGTTCCTCTTACCTGGGTCCTTCTGAGGTTTCTGTGGCGGTGTTCTCTGACTGGTGCCTGGGTTGAGCAAGCAACCTCCTGTGTTTAGGAAGCAGCAAAATAGCCACTTGGCCTGAGACCCAGAAGTTAGTGGAGATCACTTGAGTATGGGTGTACTTTTTTTCCCAAATACAGTAAAGTCTTGAACGTTTGTCTGCCTTTTCTCCTTAGTGTGTGGTGGATTTCTGAGTGCCTCCGAGGGGATATTAAACTCTCCAAATTATCCCTTTCATTACCCTCCCAACTCTCACTGCTCCTGGATGCTGGAAGCAGGAGAAGGAAGGCTCGTCCAGCTTAAAGTGCAATACTTAGACGTGGAACGCTATGGATTTTGTCATTTCGATTGGTTGGAGCTCAGAGATGGTAACACATCAAGCAGGTATGCTTTCACACAGTAAATGGTAAAGTTGTTTTTTTTTTATAATTACTCAGATGAATGAAATGATTCATGATGGCCTTCTCCATTGCTGCAGGTACTGTGGCTCTGTAACTCCCACTACATTTATTTCTAGCTCACATTGGTTACAAGTTGAGTTCGTATCTGATGAGCTTAATGAAGGAGTAGGCTTCTTTGCAAAATATCAAATGATTGAACCGAACCAAGGTATGTCATTTAGCTTTATAAGTAGATTTTACAAATATCTGTGAATTATATTAAAATTAGCCCTGGAAAATGGCAGTTAAAGCAGTATTAAACAAAAAAAGTCTGGTATTTTTCATCTTCCTTTAGTTAACCGCTTAAGCCCCAGGGCAATTCTAACATTCCTCTCCAACATGTAAAAATCTGCATTTTGTGCTAGAAAATTACTTAGAACCCCCAAACATTATATATATTTTTTATGCAGAGGTCCTAAAGCAGGGGTGTCAAACTCCATTTCATCGTGGGCTGTATCAGCATTATGGTTGCCCTCAAAGGGCCGGTTGTATCTGTAAGACTAGATGTCCAGAGCACCCCACCCCCATTACATCAGATGTCAAGAATCCCACACCCTCCCTAACATCACCATGCACCCCCTTTAGAGGCAGAGCTGGAAATCAGAAAGTGCAGGGTCTAGAGGAGGACCAGAGGCGGAGTGGAGTCAGTTACCAGAGTCTGCTGAATGCTAAGACCAGGGGGTGCCGCGACTGCACTGAGAGGTGCAGGATTTGGCAGAGGAGTTCTATTCTCCCCTCTGCTGCTGACTGCTGAGACAAGGTGGGGGCAGAGACAAGGGGGTACCTGCAGGAGAGGTGCAAGGGCCACATGAAATGGCCTGGAGGGCCGGATTCGGACTGCCTTGTGTTTGACACCTGTGCCCTAGAGAATAAAATGCCGGTTTTTTGCGCAGCAATTTTTCAAAGTTATATGGAGAAAATACACTTTAACCAATTGAATACCGGGCAATTTTACACCTTCCTGCCCAGGCCATTTTTCAGATTTCAGCGCTCTCGCACTTTGAATGACAATTGCGCGGTCATACAACACTGTACCCAAACTACAATTTTATCATTTTCTTCACACAACTAGAGCTTTCTTTTGGTGGTATTTAATCATCGGTGGGGTTTTTATTTTTTGCTAAATTAACAAAAAAGACCGAAAATTTTGAAAAAAAAACACGTTTTTCTTTGTTTCTGTTATAAAAGTTTGCAAATAAATAATTATTCTTCATAAATTTAGGCCATGATGTATTCTGCTACATGTCTTTGGTGAAAATAACCCAAATTAGGATGTATTATTTAGTTTGTAGGAAAGTTATAGAGTTCACAAACTATGGTATAGATCTGAATATTGATCAATCCTGAAGTACTGACGGCCAATCTAATTTCTTGAGGTCCAAGAATGTCAGAATAGTACAGATATCCCCCAAATGACCACTTTTTGCAAAGTAGACAGTCCGACGTACTTCATAAGAGGCATGGCGAGTTTCTTGAAGTTGTATTTTTTTTGTCATAATTTTTCGGAAAATTAAAAAATAAAAAAATTATTTTCACTATTTTTTTTTTACATACTGTCACCAGTGCAGTACAGCGTCATCATATAACTGGCATGGCGGTGATCAGGGACACTGACTGGTGACAGTGTGAAAAAAAAATATATATTTTTTTTTATTTTAAATTTTTTATTAAATTTGTTTTTTTTTTTTTTAAGATTTTTTTTTCATATTTCACTATGTCCAAAGTAGTACAATGTTACCATAGTAACATTGTACTACTTTGGGGAAGTGATCAGTATTTTTTTTTTTTTTTTTACACTTTTACACAATTTGCTTATAGAATTACATTTACCTGAATGACATCGATTCATTCAGGGTTTTTTGGGTTTTTTTAAAAAACCCCTACATTTTTCTTTGTTTCTGCTATAAAAATTTGCAAATAAATAATTGTTCTTCATAAATTTAGGCCAAGATGTATTCTGATTCATTTCTTTAGTGAAAATAACCGAAATCAGTATTTATTATTTAGTCTGTAGGAAAGTTATAGAGTTCACAATCTATGGGATAGATCTGAATATTGATGAATCCTGAAGTTCTGACAGCCAATCTAATTTCTTGAGGCCCAAAAATGTCAGAACAGTACAGATATCCCCCAAATGGTCCCTTTTTGCAAAGTAGACAGCCCAACATTTCATAAGAGGTATGGCGAGTTTTTTGAAGTTGTAATTTTTTTGTCATAATTTTTCTGAAAATGAAGAAATTAAAAAAATTATTTTCACAATTTTTTTTTTTTTACATACTGTCACCAATGCAGTACAGCATCATCACATAACTAGTGTGGCGGTGATCAGGGACAATGACTGATGACAGTACAAAAAAAAAATATATACTTTTTAACATTTTTTATTACTTTTTTTCTCTTTTTTAAGATTTTTTTTTCCATATTACACTATGACCGTTGCTGTCAATCAGGGCCAGTGATGAGGAGCGGGAACAAGACCAAGCCTTGTTCTGTGTGTCTTATGGACTCACAGAACAGGGTTTGGGAGCAAGCATGTATGAGTACCCCCAGAGCAAGCGGCTTGCTCTGTGTGCACTAAGCAGGGGGGGGGGATGGAGCCCAGAGCGCTGGCAAGGAACCCCAGAAGAAGATGATCAGGGCTGCTCTGTGCAAAACCATTGACATGCTTGTTATTTAAGAAAAAAGCAAAAAAAAAAGAACTTTTAATACCACTTTAGTTTCCTGCGTTCTAGTGGTCAGCGATACATGGCAAGATTGAACGTCTTCTAAAATCTTTTTAATGTGTTTGAGGCACTTATCCGAATGTGGATCTTTGTGTTTCGGTAGGAACCTGTTCCTGGGATGAATTCTTATGTGATAGACGACGTTGTGTCTTGCTTCCAGCCCTCTGTGATGGAATCTTTGATTGCATTGACAGGACAGATGAAGAAAACTGCAGTCAGAGCCAATGGGGTATGTCTCTGACAAACAGCCGCATACAAGCAGTCTCCCGCTTGCATCCACACAGTGAGCTGCTGCAAACCTAACTTGTAGTTCACCTTCAAGTGTAAACTATATTTATTTCCACAACTGTAAGGACACAGTGCCAATATTACGTATGACAAGGTGCATATTACCATTAGGAACCACTCGCCCTCCTGAGGATTTACCCCTCCTTCCTGACCAAGCCATTTTTTGCGAAACGGCACTGCGTTACTTTCACTGAAATATGTATACTATGTGTATACCCTGCTGCAAGCTGGCTCAGTACACACAGGGATGGATTTTTTGGTGCTGCAGTTGAGAAAAGCAGCTACAGTAGCGAAGGTCCTAAATCACATCCCTTCCCTCTCCTTCACTGCCATAGTCACATCTCTCATCCCTACAGGACCTGGAAATCCAGTGCTGTGTGTAGAAGCCGGCTTGCAGCAAAGTGTGATCTTTATACTATGCAGCAGCCATCCACACAAAGTTAAACTTGCCAATAACTGATACACTACCTAATATTAAAATCTAACTAAATGTATGGGTATATATTACGACTTCCTTTTTTCTAGGATATAAACCAAGTTTGTATTGATGGTAGCAGTCACAAAAACTAAAAGTGGGAAAATAAAGGAAGAAAAATGCAGATCTGGTATAGTAAATACATTTTAATTGACAAAGTGGCATTGTGGTAGCACCCAAATATGGCAGAGTTCCCCTTTAAACTCTAAGACTAGCAGCCTCTGTTTGCACAGCAAAGTTTTCACTCTCCCCCTCCCTTATTTCCTGTGAATAATATGTACCAACTTGTAGCTAGTACCCTTATCTGCAGCTGCTATTCCAAGGTTATATTTTGCAGAGTTTAGAAAGCCCTTTGAGTGCATATAAAGTGAAAGAAGGAATGTATGCATTGTGTCATAATCATTGGTATATACGCTTGTAAGAATTTTTCTATAATTCACTTAGCAGATGAGAGCATGAGCCGTCTGTTAGGTCAAACAGCACTGTTTTAATAAATCACTTGTTTTCCTCAAGTCCGTGTCCGAAGTTCCCTGGTTTGCCAAAATAGCTACTACAGCATAAAATCACTTACATCAAAGCTAACACTGGAGCACCTTTACCAGGACAATCAGGATAGCAGTCAGTCATGTAAACAGCTGTAGTGGTGAACATAGGTGAAACCAGCAGCCACCTTATGCTATATCTTCAGAGCAGGACCCACTTAAAAGGTGTACACAATCAGTGTCCACGGGAGCTTCAGTCAGGTCAATATTGGTCAAGCAAGTATAGCACTACCCCCTTAGGAGTTGCTAGAGATTTGGGTCCCCTTATAGTCCTGCACGTAAATGGGTCATGGGTAAATGGGTCATGGGTTCAATTCCCAACCATGGTGCCTCCTGCATGGAGTTTGCATGTTCTCCCTGTGTTCGCGTGGGTTTCCTCCGGGTACTCCGGTTTCCTCCTACACTCCAAAGACATGCTGGTAGGTTATTTGGCTTCTGTCTAAATTTTCCTAGTTTGATCCCTGGCCATGCGGGATCTCCTGCATGGTAGGGGTTGGGGAAAGACCTGGCAACCTACCCTGTAAAAATAATTGCTAAGAGAATTCATGGAAAAAGTCGCTTACGAGTGATGGTCCATGCAATCGCCAAGGGTCGGATATGACTGAATGGATAGATAGATAGTTCTGCACAGCCAGGCAACACACAATAACTTGCATCCAGGAGATAATAGGCAGTTCTTGAGCTTTGTTTTGAAGTTTTATTAAGGGATTTGAACTTGGATAGGGTAAGGGGTATATGGGATGCCCAATGGAACTGTGAAACTGAGGATAACTTCCTGGAACTATATACAAGTTTTTACAGCAAACAGTCTCTTGTGGAGAGCTAGTCAGCATCTCTGGTTGTACCACCACACACCCCAGGTGAATCCTCCTCTCATCCAGCTATCTGAGGGAAATCCCTGAGCAGGAGATCCAGTGCCTATCACTTTAAAGTAAGACAGTTCTGGGTAGTTGCTAATTTCCCACCAGAATTCTCCTTCCCCTATCTGACCCAGGGGGTGCAGGTCTCCTCACTTAGTCTTTCTCCTGTGTTGCTGCTAGGTTGGTGGCTGCTACCAGGCCTTCTAGCTGGGCCGCTCCTTCCCTGCCTCACAGGTGGTCCTCTCTTAGGGGCCAGTGAACTCCCAAGCTTCCTCCTGCCTGAAGGTGATCCCATCTCCATCTGGGCCCCCTCCCAGACTCCTGCTCTCCAGCTTTACATCCTCATCTTCCACCCAAACTTTCCTCCAACTCTCTCCCTCTGCTGAGCAGACTCAGTTACTCTTAAAGCTGTCCTAGCCTCTTTCCAAGCCTCCTGTTGGGGATTGGCCAGGATCCTCTAAAAATACAGACCAGCCACTCCTCACCTCCTCCAACTGCATCTAGATCCATCGCCAAAGTTCTAGAGCAGGGGAAATTCCAGAAAGCTGGTATGCAGAGCCTCTCAGCTCTGACCTAAATTTGACCCCTCTGGCTATCACACCCAGGTTGCTACTCAGCCTCTAACAATTGAAGCTAGAGCTCCCCCTAGCTACCTAGGAGGGTGCTACAAAAGGTAATGCATTTCTCAAACCTGACGGGAAGGCAACGGAAGACTGCCTTTAAAATCTGATTAGATTATGGTGATGTAAGTAGGTTTATCACATATTTAGATAAGATTAAAAAAGTGTACATTGTGGAAACTGAGAATCATTGTGAATAAAGCTAAAACAATACAAAACATAGTAAAAACTCTATGTGCCAAAACCCATGCAATTGTAAAAGGGGCCTATTGGGGGAAGACATAGTTTATTATAAAAGTGCAGCTGAAAGATACATGTGTTCAGGATATAAATCAAAAAAGTTTCAAACTCTTCTGCTGATGAAGAATAGGGAGGGAATGGATTTTTTTATGTTGATCCTGAAACTATCTGTGGATTTTTGGTGCTTCTGAGAAAAATAGCACTGCCCTGTTCAAGTTTTAAGTATCTTGTGTTCCCCAAAATGACTGCAGACGATTCTAATGATTCTTATTTCCCTCATGAACATGCAAATAAGTGCATAATTTGTTAGGCATGCATTTCTTTTGAATTTTTTGTTGCTATTATGTCTCTATTCTGTGTTGCAATTCACCTACCATTCGATTTTTAGACTGATCATTTCTTTGTGAGTGGGCAAACATTCAAAATCAGCAGGGGATCAAATATTTATTTCCTTCACTGTGTGTATATATATGTGTATATATATATATATATATATATATATATATATATATATATATATAATCTTTTGGGCTCCGTGTGGTGAGCCCTTCCCTTCAGGCTCCTGATTGTGCCATCAATGTCTTGGATGAGTGAGAGGCAGAGGTCCCTGGGCTGCTGTATTGCAGGCTATTGATCAGCTGGTCTTTTAGTGAGTACATGGTGATGAAGGATCCTGCACAGGAAAGGAGCAATGATCTCACAATTATTCTTATTGGACTTTCACTGGAAGGACTTTTTGTCACAATATTGCTTGTGACACTTTAATGAGCACTATTTGTATATTAATATTGATTTACAGTATTTTATTTATTGATTGAATTTGGTAGTCACATTATATATATATATTTAATGCGCTGTACTGTTTTAATTTAATTGATCTTGATAATGTGTTGTACAAAGCAGTATTTTTTATTAAACTTGGCAATACATTTGATATCAGAGGTAGAGTTTATCTTGTGCAGTGGCCTCGGAGGTAGGCTTTAAATACTGTACGTACCTTAAGCCCCCTCTGTAACCTCCAGGGGATAATCCTTTTCATTTAATTAATATTTAAACATTTTACTTTGTGTGATATAGTGATCAGTTAAGGTAGTTGGCAGAACTGTTTTTAGGGGTGATCTCTTTCCATTTGGAATGAGTTCTCTGTGATAGGTTTGAAGTGGTTAACAGATGTTACATTGGTATTTTGATGGCTAAACTCTAAGCCAAGGAACACTAGAGATTCTTTGCTATACATGTGTAAAACTGAAAATAGAATTCTGCAAATAAAGGGATGTGTTCCAGGGGCCCGCCCTGAATGATGAGAATATCATCAATGTTGTGCCCATAAAACAAACAGTATGATGAATAACTGGTTTTGTTATTGGGGATGTAGATATTCCCAATACCCCATACTCTCAACTTCATGCCTATTATTGTTTATCACCTTTTACCTGTAGGTAATACTCATCTTGAAGGTAAGTAGCAAAGAACTGATACACAGAATATAACTGGATACTAACATTTATAGGTAAAGTTGATCCAGGGAATATCCGATTGCCTCTCGGGGAATCAGGAAGGAACTTTTTTCCCCAGCAGGAGCAAATTGGATCATGCTTTGCTGGGTTTTTTGCCTTCCTCTGGATCAACTGTGGGTATAGGATTATAACTTTTTTTTTATGGCTGAACTGGATGGACTTTTGTCTTTTTTCAGCCAGACTAACTTTGTAACTATGTAACTGAATAAGCACTGTAAGGCCTGTCTCATGGTGAATAGAGGTTTAGTGAGAGTTTATGTCTAATGACAGCCATGTATGTAATTGAGATTCCAATTGTAGGATTTCAGGGTGTTCAGAAGGATTATCTTCCCCCCAATGCCCTTTCTGGATTTGCATGGTACATATGGGATTTTTCCACATTAGTTTTCCTCCCATTTTTACCATTTTATTTTGTATAAAAAAATGATTTAGCCTTATTTACAATTATTCTCACTTTCCACACAAGTTTAAATTGTAACTTTAGCAAGATGTATGATGTTGGGTCTGCCATGCTAATTAGAGTTAAAGAAGCCCTCTGCTGCCTACTCATCAAGCTTCAGAAAAGGGCAGAGCCCCAAACGCAATGCCTTGTATGGCCAACATCCCCATACACTTACTGGCCAAAAGATTGGTTCACACCTTTTAAGTGGTTTCTGCTAGTCAGGTGGTTTCACCTCTCTTTGCTGCTACTACAGATCTTTACACAACTGGCTGCTATCCCGATTCTTCTGCTGCAAGTGCTCTCTAACAATGTCAGCCACTATTAACTTTGATGACCTTAAAACGATAAAGTGATTTAACCAGGTGACTATAATTGAGTGCTTAACCAAATTAAAACTACTTTCACTGTACGAATTCCCACGGCCTCCACTATTAACAAATCTGTTACACCCTTCTTCTCTCTGTTTCCTATGATAGTGTTGGTTCATCTCTGATCTCAAAGAGCTGCAGGACTGTACTGTCCCCTCTCCCCATGATGTCTGGATTGACAGTGAACTAGGATGGACTGACTCCTGATTGCTGCCAACACAGTACTGTGCAACACTTTTTCATTTTTTATAACGGAAGAAAATTCATTTATTTCTTCTCTTTCAGACTGTGGGGGCACTTTAAATGCGCTGCAAGGGTCTCTCTTCTCTCCCAGATATCCTGAACTTTTTCCCAGTAAGACTGTTTGTCGGTGGCTTATCTCAGTATCAGATGGACTGACTATCCAGCTGCAGTTCCACAACTTTAGCCTGGTGTCCCAGAAAGGCTGCAGTTATGACTATGTTGAGGTCCATGACAGTGCTGGATTTGGAATTGCCAGTTTGATGGGAAGGTAGGTAAATTCTGCTAGACAGAACTGTTTGTGGCATGTTTTCTTCTAAAAATACATAGCCATGTAAATGAATCATTTCGAGTTTCTCCTTACAGTTTCTCCACCCAAAAGGGGAAGTTCCGCTTTAAAGATTGGTCCCCTTCTCCCCATTAAGGATTGGCACCTTTGGGGAGCGAGTACCTGAATTTGACAGGTACCCACTCCCACTTCCACTGCGATCACCTAGGCCAGTGGTGGGCAACCTTTTTTTTCAACTGAGCCAAATCTCGCCAAAACCACGATTGAAATTTATTTTGAGAGCCACATTTTTAAAACTGAAAATACATAGGATGGTACACTGTTTTTAGTTTCAATAAGTTTTTATAGTAATTCATCCCCCATAGTAATTCATCCCCCATATAGTAATTCATCCCCCATAGTAATTCATCCCCCATAGTAATTCATCCCCCATATAGTAATTATTACATCCCCCATATAGTAATTCATCCCCCATAGTAAATCACCCCCCATATAGTAATTCATCCCCCATATAGTAATTCATCCCCCATATAGTAATTCATCCCCCCTATAGTAATTCATCCCCCCTATAGTAATTCATCCCCCATATAGTAATTCATCCCCCATAGTAAATCATCCCCCCTATAGTAATTCATCCCCCATATTAATTCATCCCTCATATAGTAGTAGTAAGTAAGTAGCAAGTAGTAAGCCAAGTCCCCCCTGTGTCAATTCACTTACCTTTGCTCCGGCGTTCCTCTCGCCGTGTTCCCGCGCCGTTCCAGTCTTCAGAGCGGACTGTGAGAGGAGCCTAGCTCCTCTCACGTTTGTCACGCTGCCCCGCCTACACACATCCTGACAGCCAATCACTGGCTATCAGGATGTGAGTGGCAGCGAGACTGGCCAATCATTGCATTTGAGCGCGCTGCCCTGGCTGTTTTTTTTTTGGATCACGCTGCAGAGTCCCTGCCGCCCGAGAGGAGGGAGGGGAGCGGGCGCCCGGCACACAAGAGCCGCATTAAAGCGTGTAAAGAGCCGCATGTGGCTCGCAAGCCGCGGCTTGCCGACCACTGACCTAGGCGATCAGAAGCAGAAGTTGTCCTTTTCCTCCCCTCCGTCCCCGAAGTCTTGTGGGACACGTGACAGGTCCCAGAAGACGACGGGGCCATTCAGGAAGTGCAGAGCTACTCACGCATGAGCAGTAGACACCCGGGTGTGAAGCCACAAGCTGTCACAGCTGGGTGTTCACACTGAAGATGCCGGTGCCTGGAATACAGGACGGCCGGTGAAACGGGCTGCGGCGGGGGCAATGCCTAATCAGGCTACCTATCTATCGGCTTTAAAAAAAAAAAAAAACCCAAAAATGAATGTTGCTGATTGTCAGTAACACATTCTAATGTTTAACAACATGTTCCATCCTGCTGCCATTACTGCCAGTGCAACTAGCAGGATCCTCAGTGTTTCATGGTTTGTGCATTTATGTTGATTGAATAATGCACTGTATACTTATACTGGGGTAAATGCCTAGAATCAATCTGCTAGTAGATTAGGACGTTAGTTTGTCATACATTTCTTGTAATTCCTTCTAGAAGTTTTATTGCACAGTAGGCACAACTCCACCTCCAGCATTTGCGTGCCTTGTGTGGCAATGATGTCTTGTTTGTGTGATACTTAGGCTAGTCATTTAAATAGGGTAGGAGTAGGGGCAGCACCATCCAATTACTTTGGGGAGGGGGGTGGGACAGAAAATAGAAATCCTGCCCTATGTGCTATTGCATTAATGCTGACCTACACTGCATCTGAGCACCACAAACCAAAAACACTGTTACTAAACCCAGGACCCTACATTCACTATATCTGGTCTCCTACAGTACACACAACATGGAAATGCAATTATTTTAGTAAATATAAACTGCTAAATACCTTTTCTCCTCAGCAGTTAGAGCAGCAGTCTTGTGACTTCTATCAGTGTCCAGTTGAGCATTGGTTAAAGCTTGTAGGAGTTGTAAGAGGAGTTTTTATTCTCCTCTGATTGATCTCTGAGGCTGCAGGACCCCTGACCCTCTGTCTGGACAGTGCTGATTGGACCTGTGCTGATCACATGCACACTCCCAAGAAAAAAAAAAACTATCAATACACACTAAACTGAGCATATGCAGCCTGCCCCCGAGGCTCTGTTCTATCAGCAGATGGATTGGGGATGGTAGAAGAAGGGGAGGATCAGAAAACACAGGATCAAACAGCCTTTTTACACAATGCGGAGGATTAACCCCTTAGGTTCCACAGTGAGTATAACAAGTATGCTTTACTGCATATACAGACTGATTTTACTGTTGTGGGTTTAGTAGTATTTTAATTCCTTTTTAATATTCAAAGCAAACTCAACCATCCATGCCTCCGTGCTTTATTTTGCACAGAAAACACCCCCTAGCATTTCTGGCCATGGTCATCTTTAGAAAGGGCAGATGGTTCATGTAGCATTCACTTCCTAGAATGCATCTGTGATTAGCTGAGGAAACCCCACCTCCCCTCCTGAAGACCTGGAAACCAGGAAGCAACTGAAGAACTGTAAAAAAAAGTTTAAAACAAGTAAATATGATCTTCATTCCTATCTATTTACTAATACCAGCAGCATAAGGATTACAAATAGTCAATGATGATTGAGAGAGTGAAGTTCCGCTTTAAAGAATGTGTAAACCCAACATTTTATATTCCTGATACGTGCCTGCTGTGCCATGTACTTGTATGAAAAAATATCCTTTTCTGTGTATTGCTTCCTTTGTGTGAAATCCCTGGTATTCCTGCCAGTCCCTCTGCTTTCCTATTAAAAACTGACCACTCTAAGCAGGAGAACACATCGTGGTCAGTTCTATAGCTGTGCTAGGAACGCAGCCTGCTCTCCTCCAGTGATCACACTTTTCCTAACACTACCTGGGCCCCCCCCCCCTTTCCCATGCATAGCCTATTACGGGGAAGCTCAGTGTGCTGCTGCTCCTCCTCCCCCAGCTCTTATGCAACTGAGAACAGTGGGTATGTGATCAGTTATAAAGATGGAAAAAAAGGTATTTCTGTTTTTATATATCTATACACAAATGTTTTGCCTTTCATTTCTATTTGTAATTGAATAAGTTGTTTTACAAGGTGAGAATTTACAATCACTTTACAGCTGCTTTCACACTGATCTGTTTTTCTTATGCTTTTGCATTAAAAAAAGCGGAAGAAAAACGTTTGACTATGTATTCCTATGGAACTCTTTACACTGATTCACTGCAGGTCAAGTCCTACTTGCTGCATTTTTGGTGCTGGTTTGGCGCGGTAAGAAACCACACCAAAACTCACCTCCCCATTGAAATAAATGAAAAAAGCCAATAAAAGGGAATTATTTGAAATCAATTTATTTGTATTTTCTAAGCTTTTAATCCTAATGTTTTTGGCACTTATGTGATATTTTGTCTTAGGCCCCGTACACATCTAGTAATTTGAGATTGTGGGCGGAATCACACTGCAATGCTGGCAAAACGCAGCACGTGTGTGTTAATTTTTAATGGCAACTAAAAGTGGTGCATTTTTGCTGCAATTGTCACGCGATAAATCGCACTGCAATCGCAGCGAACTGTATCACGCAAAGTTCGTCGCCCAGAAAGGAGCAGGAGTTTCTTTTGGGCAACATGCTTTGTGTGATGTGGTTTGCTGCAATTGCAGTGCGATTTATCGTGCAACAATCGAGGTAAAACCAAACCGTGTTTAGGTGCCTTTGAAAATGAATGGCACCGGAACACATGTGCTGCATTTTGCTAGTATTGCAGTATGATTTGAAATTGCAGGATTCCATCTGTGATCTCAAATCACTAGATGTAAACAGAGCCTTATAATATACACACATTCATTATTTTATAAACAAACATTTCATTTGCGACAAATGAGTCCCAAAACAATATGGGCTAGCTAAAGAGAATGCACAGCAGAAGCTGCTTGCAGTGAGGCTAGCTATGTCTGATTAAAACCATAGCTTGAGCTATGGAAGGGTCACTGCTCTGACTCACTTGGATGTGTGTGTGAATTTCAGCTTTAGCTATTGACCTCTATCAAGGTTTGTTACAACAAAAAAATAAAGGTCACAGAGGAAAATATGTGTAAAGGAGCCAAAAATTCCACCTTTTGGCTAAAAATAAGATTTCATAATAATGATGTGCAGTATTTCATAATTAATCGCTCCTCCCATGATATCCTCCTCTCTAGCTCCCTCATCACCTCCTCCCACGCTCACCTCCAGGACTTCTCCAGAGCCTCTCCCATCCTCTGGAACTCCCTACCACAGCATGTCCGGTCAGCCCCCACCCTGTCTGCCTGTAGGTGATCTTTGAAAACTCACTTCTTCAGGAAAGCCTACCCCACCTCCACCTAAGAACTGTACTTGTATCACCTCTGCCAGATCATCCCCCACAGCTATTACCTTTTGTATCACCTCCCCCTTCCTTTAGATTGTAAGCTCAATGAGCAGGGCCCTCCTATTCCTTCTGTACTGAAAGTATTGTAATTGTACTGTCTCCCTTATATTGTAAAGCGCTGAGCAAACTGTTGGCGCTATATAAATCCTGTATAATAAATAATAATAATAATAATTGACTAAAATATTTAAATTATTCTTTTTTAGTTCTACTCATAATAAAGAAATAAAAATATAAAGACAACTACTATATATTCTCCTAAATACTTATGACTTTCTCAATATTTTTGCCTTTCCTTTTGAACATAGGTATTCCTGGTTAAGGTGGTATAATGCTGGCTTTGCTCCTAAAAGACAGATATACCTGCATGATTTCAACTTAAATACTAATATTTTAGATCACTGTAATCCTTTATGGACAGACCTTTACAAATGTT